TATACATACATTACACCCCAACTTACACACACACTTACACACACACACATACACACACACACACACACACGCACCTCCCCCTCCGAGAACTGACTCCCGCTCCCTCGCAGCGGGACCTGGCCGGCGCGGGCGACGGGCAGGCCCTGCGGTCCGCTCTCGCCTCCCTGCCTCCGTGCGCCAAGAAGGACTTCCTCGGTAAGACGCCGCAGCGGCTCCTCTCCCGAGCTCCTTTGCGGAACTGGGAGCGTGGGTTTGCACAGATAAGCACAGCGCGAATGTTGCCGCTCTGGCGGCGGGCTCATCTATGATAACGTCCCATTAACATGCTAATAACATTATGATAATGATGGGTATATTATCAATTGTTATAGTGCAGTATGAATGGAGTAAGAGAGGAAAGCTAATGTAAGCCTGTCTGTCCATCAGATTCGCACCCGCTTATTGACGCCGCCGAGGAAGGCTGAGAGGAAGTGGTGGAGGTCTTGGTCGCAGCCGGAGCCGATGTCAGTGCCAAGGACAACCGGGGTAAGTTGTCACTGCGGGTTTTGTATTTTCCTTCACGTTGATTTTGACCATAATGGTACTGACGATTGATGATAGCATATCTGAAGATGATTGTTGGTAGCAGTAATGGATATGATACTGAAGGTCTGCGTATTCCGCGATGGTACGTAGAAGGAAACAAACATACGACACGAGACGCAAACTTTTTATTCACGACGCCGACCAGCCTTGGTGAATACTTGATTTGATTTTTCGCTTCTCACACTCGAGACCCTAAGCACACGTCCTCACATTATTCATGCAACGTTGATGTGGTTACGGAATTAGCTAAAGAGGGGAAAACAGGAGAATATCTGCTGTTAAAGCAAAATGCTATTTCAGATACAGAACTAGACTGGTTTTGAAAATGATAACTTTGAGCGAATGTCGGCGCCATTGGGTCCGTAGAGTCGCTGCTCCTCATGGCCGCCGCGGGGCTGCAGCCTCACGCGCCTGCTGGTGACGCCGAGCTCCTCTCCGCACCCACGCCGCAGGGTGTGGGCGGAGGGCGGCGACCAGTGCCAGACGGGCGCGCGTTGCAGAGCCGCGGGGAGCCACAGAGAGGAGTCAGTTCCACGAGGTCCTTCCAAGCCTCACAGTAGTTTTAGCCCAAATAAACCTCGTCAGTGAGCGGGACCGAGAGATGCATGACAGGCCAGGCAGAGCTGGAGTTTGGCATCGTCATTCCTGTCGTGGACTGCATGACAGTTATGATGACATGCTTCGTTATGGCAATCTGGGACACTTTTGGGGCTTTTTGAAGACTTTTCGCTCAGTTTCATTCAGAAGCCCAAGGGAAGCTTAAGACGAATGTCCTTATAGCCACAAACTGAATCTGTTAGAGAAGAAGAACCTTAGTGTTTAAGTCTTAAAACCATAAGGACTTTTGTTGCTCAACGCATTCGGCGCTGACCACGATTCCAGGAAGCGCCACACAAAGCCTCTCCAAGTAGCAGTGAGCGGAACGAGTCATGCGTTTAAGGTGCTGAAGCAAAGGGATGTTTAAAAGATAGTTAAATACCACAAGTGTGTACCTAGCAGCATACCATAGGATACTTGAAGCACAATCAGTAACACAGGCTTACAAGATCAAACCTTCGTTCATCTGAATACAGAATTCTTCCTAAACCTGTTCGGTAATGTTTGCCCTTGGCCTGACGACAGGCCCTTAGTCTCTAGGAGGTATGAAATGGTATGGTAAATGCCTATTAAAATAGCTTCATCTTTAGAGTGGCGTTATGTAACAAGTTCTTTGCGAACTGAAAATATTGTGAAGTCAATCTGTTATCCCGGATAGTGGAGATGGTAGGGTATAGATAATGTAGTGATAGTGAATAACATTATACTTATGAGCTATGTGCGGCGGCGGTGTGTATTGGCTTTTTATCAGTTAATAAAGGTGTCCAGATATTTCTGCGTATCTAAACATATTCTCTCCATGGACTTATTAAAATCACATAGGCGGTTCATCTTGCAATGATAGCTACATATAGCCCCCTCTCTCTCCCTCTCCTTTTCTTTTGCTCTCTCTATCTCTCTGCATATAAGTATTGCCCCACGCTCTCTCCTATTTCCTTTGTTCTATATCTTGCTCAGTTTTTCCCTATCTTCCCTCTTTTTTATCTCTCACCTTTCCTCCATTCCTCCTGTGTTTGTCCATATACACTCTCTGTCTGTATTGTATCGATCTAAGCCTGTCTGTTGTGACTTTCACTTGGATTCATCCCTTTTTCTTTGTAATCTAGCCATATGTCTATCATATTACTGAAATGTGTATGCTAACATTATCCTTGTGTTTATGGGTATATTCTACATATTTTCCATGATTGCCATATATGCATCTTCACACACACGTGCGCACACGTATATATTCGTATACGAAGGCCTATTGCTTTGCCTGTTTATTCATCCCTCCTTGCCACACAAGACCTTCCAGTGCCGTGTTCTCTGTCACCTG